TATATATATATATATTACTAGAGAAGAAAAAAAAATCTCGAGATTGACATATTTTCTAACAAAAAAACACTTTTCGTTTCAATTCGCTTTCTTCTCTAATCTACCACGTGCAGAAACCGGTTGGAGAACGAGAACAACGATATAGTGGAAGATGCAAGAAGAAAGTAATGCCAAGAACATTGAGTAGATGGGCAACTCTCGACAATTCGTCTGTGTATTGGAGAACTGGTTTCAAGGCTAGCTATCGGATTTGCACAAACTGCGATAATTGTATTTCCCCTTCTCGCTCCTCATTCAAGGCATCAACAGCAGAGTGATCATTTTTAATACGATTGACCTTGTACTACCTGCAATTAATTCTGTCAGCTGCGTGCAGCTCTCAGCGATGATTTCCGGCGTCTCTCGCAATTCCTCCTTGGCTTTCTGCATAAAGAACTCGCCGATACCTTCCAATTCAATGTTAAGTTCGTGTTCACCAAACTTAATCTTCGGCGCACTCTCTTGCCATATTCGGTAGACGTCCTTCTTGGACGGGCACTCAAAGTTATTCTCCATGGTCGCGGATGATGCCATCATATCCAGCACGACGAATATCTATCGAATAATCATAACCGGAGTTATAGTACAGCAATGAAGAATCACAATATTTTGCTAATACACACAACGTGACGCACGTGATGTCAAATGTTTGCAAAGTACGCTTCTACACACATAGAAATAGGAATGACTCCGATAAATCCGCGATGAGGAATGAAGAACCGGTCTCGTATATTTTGCTTTGCTTGGTCGAAGAATGTGTATGTCTAGCAAAATTTCGTCACTGAATCACAGAAGTGGATACGTACCCATATGTATATATGTGTGTGTGTGTGTGTGTGTGTGTGTGTGTGTGTGTGTGTATATAGAAAAAATTTGCGTTCGATACAGCAATGTGCGATACATGGTTAAGTATATTACACGCCCTTGTTTTGAAACTGCGTGCTGCGAGAATCTCGCAACGAGAGAACGGTTGCAGAAGGTTCTACAGAAATTTCCAAATCTTTATGTACGAAATTGTTGCTTTCTATTAGCTCCGTAACAACAATTTTTATTCGAGACTTAAAAAATAGCACAAAAATTTATATGGACTTTTTTGCATTAGAAAAAAACAATCTATTGATTGATTTACAGGTAACGTAGAACACATCTGAGAAAGAAGTGCAATTTTATATATTCTTTCAATTTATAATATAAAGTTTAAAGATTATTATTAAGTTTAAAGAAGAATTATTTCTTGAGAAGCAATAAAATTTTGTGTGTGTGTATATGGGCGTGTGTGTGTATGTATACACACACATTAATTTTGTACATATTACTTTGGATACATTGATATATTACATAATTTAGCTTTTTCTTATATTATTATATACTGGAGTGACAATGATGAATCAAAAATAATTGCCTAAATTATCAGCATTCTAGTTTTATCTAGACGCATTCCAAACTCACATATATGATAAAACATTCATTTCTGATTCTACAACAATCATTGTGCAGTGCGTGATATATTATGGCTTATTCATTTGCTTTAACAATTCAACCTTGTCTCAATGTTACGCAAAAAATATCAACTACTTATCTTCTGTCCAGTTCCTGTCCTCTTGCTGCTCTAAATGAAATACCGATAAATAATCTCGTCGAAAAGATATTTCTTTATCATTATCAATCTATACTGTGTTGAATCTGATAAAGGTAAAAACTTTGAAGCCTCTTTTAACTTGCTTTAATATGCTCACTATATCAAGTGTTATTATATCATTTAATATATACATCTACATTATTGCATCTGGAAACGTTTCTCATAAAGTAATTATTTGTATTGCTATAATTAGTTATAGATAAATATATTATGTCAAGGAATAAAAAGAATATCAATAGGTTGTTTATCATATTTTTTGCAGGCATTAATTATATGCACAATTATTACATATGTAGTATTTAAGTGCAGATATAATTACTGAAATATGTATCAATGTAGCGCAAAGTATGCCAAGAATAAAAATAAGAATAGAAAAACTGAAGAAGTGAAGGTCAAAACTGAAAAAAAACTGAAGAAAATTGAATTCCGAAACAAATCTAATGTTGACTACATCTTAAATTATTAAAAATTGATTGTAAAAATGGTTAGTGACTTAATATTAATATTAGACTAGCTATTAATATAAGACTAGCGCAATAGAAATTTAATTTGAAATTTAATTGGACGTTAATATCTAAAATCAGAAATCGGAAGATTTTATTACATAGAGTTAATAATTGCATTTTTACAAAGAAAATATAGAACAAATTTATTAAAAAATATTTTCCTAAAGGTGAATCTCTCTTACGAAACATTCTATATAATTATGCAAAATAAATATGTATTAGTGGTGTGCGTTTATGCAGACTTGCTGTAATGTAATCCGTCTATTGTTTCGTGTAATCCATTGTTTTACTGAAGTACGACAGAAGTATAATGAAGATTTTTCCGTTCAAAATATTTTTAATGTTTTGAATGAAATTTGAAGCATTTTTGGATATCTTGTTCTCTCTAATATTATATTTACTAATTATTATGCATATATTAAAAACTTTCTGCGATCTTTTGTACGGATTTGTACTATCTCACTCTTTATATACAAGATGGCCCATGGAAAGTGTTACAAGTCAATAACTCTAAAAATATTTATCGAATCCAAAAGTTGTTTATGAGAAAGTCTTATGTATTCGAGAGGGCTTTCTAACTATATAAACATAAAGTCGCTCCCGCTCCCCCTTCAAGGGGGGTGGGAAGGTAACTCCATAATTTCAAATGGAACATTCTATAAAATGTAATATATTTGGTTCTACGGGAAAAAAACAAGTAAATTTTATCTGAAACAATTATTTTAAAAATGCTTCTATCAAAAGTTATAAACATTTCAACTTTTAGCGATTTTAGATTTTATTTGATTAGACTCAATTGATAAACTCGCGTATATAAAAAACTAATACTAACTATGAATACAATTTCTTTATAAAAAAATTATGTTATTTTATAAAATATACTTAGATAAATTTTAAATTAATCACAATATCTTTCTTAATTTGTTACCGAAAAACTGTAAATTGATATATATTATAGAAGATACATTTTTCATATTAAATAATACATACTTATGTAAAATAAGCATTATTTGGCAAATTATATTAAAATAATGCCAAAATAATTACTTATGCTGCCTGGAATACTTCTCAAGCGTCTCTTTATCTATTTATAAGATTAGAAAAAGTAAAAACATGAGAATCTAGAAATTACAACTGAAAAGAAATAAATCTTGAGTTGTATAAAAACACATGTTTGCAATATGTCGACTGTCAACAGATGCGTGGGCGATTAGATTTTATTAAAATAGAATATCGTATAATGCGAATATTCACTTGCGAAATTGCACTTTCGGATGCACCAAACCAGTTTTTTCACTTATTACAGTATTTATATATATATATCTGTTATCATCGAAATTTTAGCACTGTATGCTATTCATGTTATACACTGTAGATCAAGGATTAATTCACTAATCCTTCTCTCTCTTTTTTTATTCGGATAAACTTGCTTTGCTCACAAATAACGCAAAAGCGGAAAATAAAAACAAAGTAAAATATTTACCAGATTAGTACTGTGGTGCTCGCATTGCTGATGAGACTGTGTCCAGACAGTCCAGTTTGGATGATTCGAAAGCCGTAGCTTCCCCCACTTTTACATGAACGTGACAATGCGAAACATATGACCAGTCGCTTAGAACGATGCCGGCATAATTTTACACGTCTCGGAATAAACTAGATTGTGGAAAATTACAAAGCGCGAACAATATTTCTCCACAAATTTTGTTATTAATTAAATTTTTCGTAAAATAAAATTTTAAGGCTGAAATATAGATTCGTAGAAATTCACGGAACAATCTGAAATTGTGAAATGTTCAAACTTTATCCTCAAACTGTTCGAAGGGAATCAATGATCGAATCGTTTGATTAATTTGCAATGCTCAAAGGTACGATTATTTAAATAGTTTGTCAGAAAAATTTAAACAAAAATAGTATTTATTACAAGCAGGAATAATTAATATTTTTTAGATTAAAATTGTTTGAATTTATTTTTAAGTCTACAAAATCCAAACAATTTAAAGTTTGAGATCAAAATTTGTTTTTTATCAGCAAAAACTTTCAAGTTTGAATGACCAAGTATGAAAATATCGTAAAGAAGTAACTTTAGAACCTAATCGATGAAGTTTATTGTATTGAAGTTTATGAATTGCAGTATATGGCAATACGAAATATTGATAGAAGTATCTAATGTGTGTATAATAGAATATTAATAGAGGTCTAGGCCATACTGACGTTCTCAAATTTTAATCAGTAACAGATTAACTAACTTTTTGAGCCAGATTCTAACAGTTTTTAAAATCAGAGCAAAAATATATCTTATTTGTATTATAAATGTGCGAAAATTTTTCACAAACGTAAGAAGTAATTCTCATGATCAAGATTGAATAAAGTAGTACATTAACATAGCTACATTATATATGCATTACAATTTTTACGAAAATAATATTTACGATCTCAATGCTTTACATAATAGTCAATAACACAGATTTGTATAATTTTATATTTTTCTGCGGTCTGGAAAAAACGAGTAGTATCCTATAGTTTTTTGTTCGTTGAATCCAAATCCGCAAGGCAAATTGGCCTATCACGTCAGGTTTTCGAAAAAAATCGAGTTGAAATCCCCAAAAAACGCATTTTTTATCATTTCTGTTTTTAGTGCGATTAAGCACTTTTAATCTCGCGTATTAAATCTATGATTAAAATGTTTATTGTTTGCAATGGTTTTACAATTGGATTGTATGGGGCAATCGTTCTACTTGCTATAGTGCGACTACACCTAAAATCAAAGCGCGTCTGAGGTTTGATGGTACCTGCGGTAAAAGATTCGATATTTTTATATTAAAGTACAATGCTCAAGTTTTCATTTGAGCCCTGTTTGAAGTCTTTTGTACATCGGGTTTGTCTGCTACGAATTTTTAAAAATGGTAAAAAATGCGTTTTTTGAGGATTTGAACCCCGTTTTTCTCGAAAACCTGACGGAATAGACCATTTTGTTTTGCGGATTTGGATTTAGCGCACAAAAAAATGATAGGAAAGTACTCGTTTTTTTTCAGACTGCAAAATCATGCACCTGTGTAATAAATATGGCATAATTGGAACCAATTATTGCAGATATACAAAAGAACATGTAAATTACGATCAATATTACTTACTCTTACACGAGAGATGGTTAGATAAGAACAGTTCTAAAAATACAATCAATTGTTAGACTTTAAACAAGAGAGTCGTAAGACTTTTGCATATTTAATTAGAATAAGTAGAGCAAACAAAAGTTCAAAATTAACTTTCGAGACTTCGCATAATATTTACATAAATATAAAAGTTGTGCACCGATTTGCAAAACTTAAAATTAATGTCCGATGTAATTTTTTAACTTTTATTAATAAAATATTGAGATTTTAAAATTGTTTACATAATATCAAAAATTAAATACAAGTCTATGAGCCGACTAAAGAGAGAGAGAGAGAGAGAGAGAGAGAGAGAGAGTTAATGCTATAGCGATGCAATTATGTATTAGTTTATGGAACATAATTCAGGAAGAAAATAAAAGCGATGGAATTTATTAATATTTATCTTAAAGAAAAAACTTATTAGATTCAAATATAAGAAAAAATTATTAAAGCTGTACACATATTCAAAATTATGTATCTGTATTCTAGTATTATTAATAACTTTTCAGATTACATGTTTTGGATATATTATGTCTAAATATTTGTTCATGATGATTGTTAATTAAAAAATCCAAAAACTTATTTTTATTAATTAATTTAGTATAATTTGATTTTATCGAACAGTAAAAAAATTTGTTATTCTTTTCGAAACTTATTGTTAGACATATCTTTATACGATATATAAAAAATCGATTTCTGAAAAGGAGATCTATCTTAATATTGTATAATTTTTCTATAGTTTTAACTGTAATCTTTCTAGAATTTTCTAGAAGGTTTTTAATAATTAGCAACGATAATTAATTTATTCACGATTGTATATGGTCGTCCGATTGAAGATCGTCTGTTTAACATATCTTTTCCAAACATTGCTCGATTTTCTAAACGGACAGAGAGAAATCTATTCTATTATAATAAAACATGTTTTTCTACAGTTCTTACCATGTTTTTCCGATTTCTAAAAAGTTTTAATTATGAGCAACATTAATTAATTTATTCACAATTGTATATGATCGCTGATTGGTGGTAATCTGTTTAACGTATATTTTCTAAACGTTACTTGATTTGAGGAACGGAGGCATATTCTATTATAATATAATGAATTTTCCTATAGTAAATGCAAAAAAAATTCCAATTTTTTTCAACACTTAAATATATCTTTATACGACATACGAAAAATTGTGACTTCCGAAATGCGGAGGTCTATTCTATTATAATTATTATGTTTTTCTATAGTTTTAACCGTATTATTTCGACTTGGAAGAATCGAGGAACTATGGAGGAAATGAGAAAGGAACAATATGTCTATTTTGAAAATAATATAAATGTTCAATAATTTATAAATTACTTATTTTACTGTATATCGTTGGTTTATCCATTATCCAAACTTCCGTTTTCTCTCTTGCTCATTCTTTACTGTTTCCTCGTGTGACTCACACACTCGAGAAAACATGGTTTATTAACTTTGCACGACATTCCCGATCGTGGAACAATCACGCGAAATACGCACTTTATTATTATCCTGATACAATTCCATGTTTTTTGTCAAATGTTAATTAATTATTAATTGCAGTAATTATAATTAATTATGTTTCAATACTAGTCGCAATCGCGTTTAGAAAAAGAAATTGATAATATAATTGACGAAAATGGCGTTTCGCACCACCACTATTCTCCTTCAGTGTCGCCGTGCGAATGATAGAAGGGACGTAACACGTAAACAAACCATAACGTTAAAAGTCGAACACATGGATTTTGTGTGTGTATGATATTTTATTGCCGAAATATTTTATGTACTATGACATATATACGCGGAATATTAAGTTATACAAATATCTTAAATTATATGTAGATTAATTATTTATTAAACGATTGATGTATCACGAAGTCTTTCGTTATGCTAATTATTCAATCCTGAGATTCGATCGTTTAATTGCGCGTTCTCAATCCGAATTGTATTCCAACAATCGAAAAATCGTATGATAAAGCATTGGACGAAATATTTTTACTCTAACAATAAGTATCGATAATTATCCGCGATCAGGAGTGTCGTGCAAATTTTTTCGCGATCGTTGCGTATACGACCAACCATAATTAATTGTATTTTTGCGAACGAGTGTGAGTGTGAATGCCATGAGCCATGAAGAAACAACAAAGGATGAATAAAAGAGAAAAAAAAGGTCTAGAAAAGCATCAAACGATATATTGAGCAACTATATGTGATGAATAATTTATAAATTTATTTTATCATTGATATTATTTTTACAATAGATATATTGCTCCATCCTTTTTTTTCTGTGTTTTCTCGATAGCATGATTTATTCGGAATTATCATATAATATAACGCATATATAAAATATTGCAAGTTTTATTGTAAAATAGTCTTCAAATATCTATAATAAAATATTTATATATATTATAATATATTTTTTTGTAGAAAATGTTATACACTCTGTGTGTAAAGTGTATGTAATTTAATTATGAAAATACTGTGATACAATCGGAAATAAAGTAAACATGAAATTAATATAATAAACAAGGAAATCCATGAAATATTGTCAAAACGCATAGATGGATTGTTCGTTCATATATTTAAATCGCTTGATAATAAAAATAATTGTTTAGTAATAAAAATATTTTTATTCTTTTTATTCACATTAATGATTAGATTATATATTGCGATATGATACATATATGTATTTATAAAGTACTCGGAAGCTTTAATACCGTTCAGTATTTCTATATATACTTAACAATCAAATATATTTTTCTCTCTTTATCTCCCTCTCTCTCTCTCTCTCTCTCTCTTTCTGTAACATTTAAGAAGCACTTTTCGCACTTAGTTATAGTACAATAATATAGTTCAATCATTTTATTTTGTAAAAGAATAAAAAAGAAATTCATAAAAATCGCATGTCATCAAGCGACGCAGCAGCGTCGCGACGCCAAGTATATAATCTTTTTTTAGCTTTGTGAGACTTTTTTAGTGGGATAAATACTTTTTGCAAATATGGATGCACCGAATGGCATTAATGGCTTCTGACTGAGCATTATAATCATATCACATGGCAATGAATGTGACGTATGATAAATATCATACTATGATAACTAATATATGCGCTAACGTATAATAGAAAAAACTTTGAAATTACGAATCAATTTTCCCTGTAAATGCAATATAAAGTTAATTCCTTTACGAAAAATCTTTATCTACAATTAATAGCATTGTTGACGCGAATCGTACGAATATATAATGTTTTTATTTAAAATATATTTTAATAATTTAATTATTTAAAAATTTCATGTATTGTAATTTAGGACATCTCGACATGTAAAAGATTTCGATATGTTTGATATTTTTGTCTATTTTGTCTATTATATATAGAATCTAAATCTGTTTTAATGTAAGAAGAAAGTGCTTTTACGAATATCAAGCAACAATTTACTTTTAAGTGTCAATATTTTATATCTTTTTCTTTTTCGTATTCATAAAATACAAAATAAAATATTTATTTTAATTTGTGAAATATTGTAACGGGTTAATCCTGAATTATTATTTTTATGTTAGTCTGTGTGTCGAAATGTTTCTATAAATTACCACTGTATATAAAATATATACGTATAATACGTCAGCTTAAATACAAAAATATGTGTCGCATGTAAAATATGATATATCTTCCAAAATTTAAAAAGTATTTAATAATATCATGTTAGAGGATGACCATCTGTTAAAAATTTAGCTTATTTTTTGGTGTATCCGTACGTGTTCCACTCTGTAAAAGAAAAAAAAAAGATAAATTAGCTGTGGTCACAATTTTTCTCGCATTAACAAAGAGATGTCGGAGTATTATTTAATAATTCAAATAGATATTTTCTTCTCAATTTTACCTTTGATTTTATCTTCGGCTGCTAACATCGTTGGGTACCAATCGGCACCGTTGTAATCTATTTCAGGCAAATCACCGCCATAATTTTTTGGTAGATGGCTTACAGGGATGTGAGTGTGAAGCGAGGACATATTGTTACCGTGAAAAAACATGCGTTTCCTCAGCTTTTCCTTAACAAATGGCTTAAACATTGTCCATACCATGTTAAACAGAAACGGTTGTTTCACAAAATGAACCTGAAACAATATCGAATGATTAGTATACGGTATTCATGTAACAGAAATTAACTAATCGAGAATAATAGTTATATGTATGCCAAAAAAGAGTACAGACACGTAACAGTTGAATTTATTAATTATTATTTATTTATGATTACATTTGATTTAATCCGCATAAAAAATATAAGAGTAAAATTTTTTTATACAGAAGTAATTTTATGATTAATGTTACTGATACAAACTTCTTTTAAACGCAATGGCATTGCGTCTTGAATAAAACTGAGAAGTTTTATACTAAAGCTTGGTGGCATTCCCTTGATCTGTTTCATGGAGAGACCGTCGAAATCCATTATGACGACGCCTCCAAATATCTAAAAAAAAAAAAAAAAAATATGGATAATATATGTGATTCGATAAAAGATAGACAAAATGATTCTGCAAAGATTGATTAACGATATCGACAACGTGTTAAATTTTGGAACGTGGAAAAAAAGAAGTATCATATTGTTATATTTTTTTTTATCGATGTTAGATTATTCATATCGAGTCACATATCAACCGACTAAAGTGCAATCACGCCTCGCTCATATTTGCATCCGATTCAAGGCATTGGCATTGTTGAAGCTTAATTACAAACAACAGCTGTTGTTATCGCTGTTTGAATTTTGATTCATCTCCGCGATTCTCTCTTTCTTGCATGATCAAGTTTACGATTTATTAATTTTGCTGATGTGTATGTTACCGCACACGCGATTCGATAGGATCAGGCACGCGTATTCAGCAATTTCTACAATTTTATTTGTACGTAGAGAGATTTATGAATATACGAAGATTTGAAGAAAAACATCTGATTTAAATGCAAATTACTTTTCTTTTTGCCATGTTGCGACCGATATCTGGACATAATTTTAGATAATTTGAATGTTTAGCTTCTATGAAGAATACATTGAACAATCACACAGATTAAAAACTACATATTAGATATTTTATATATTAGTAGATACCTGCGTTTCTTGCTCCTGTATGGCTAACAAATGTACTATATATAACAATCTCAATATTTGATCGCTCGTGACCTTAGATGGGTCCCAAGTTTTGCCGACTTGCATTATCATCACCCTGCGATTTTTATGATCTGTAGTTTTCAAAACATTAATGACGTCATGATTCATGATGGCATCTCTTTCATCACTTGGTATCAGATCATAGAACAGAGCTGCATGCTTGTTCCTGAAATCCGCGACGCGTTTCATGAGATCAAACGCGCTCTGCGGATAAAACTTGCATGGTCGGAGAAAGATCAAGAGAAAGTCATCGTCGGTGCAGTAATGGATGGTTTTATCCTCTGAAATAAAAGAAAATTTTATATCAATCGATGTTAACAAAATTATTAATTTTGACAATAATGATATGAATAATCGCCCCGAAAGATTGCATATTTAACATAAAAATCTCTTATTCTAGATTTCAATTTTAATATTGTAAAATCAGCTAAGAGTCTTGATTTTAGTAGCATTCGAAGTACATGTTATAATCTGCTCGATACGTTGCTATAAATGTTTAATGTTGTTTGAACATGATCTTGCGCACGTAAATAATATGAATAATCATATGTGTACATATTTTTCCAATAATGATTCACCGCGCCGATTGATCATATTTTTAATCTGGAAGAATCATCGGACTTTGTAACATTCTGTCATATGTTATCGAATTGTGCTTATTGAAAGTACAAAGTTAATAATGTGTCATTATAATCAATAAAAATTATAATGTATAAATCTTTTTTAACGACTTTCGAACTATTCAAAAGAATAGATTAAATTTTGCAATTCATTAAACAAGATTACTTATAGTTACAAACACGTATGTACACATGGTTTCTTTTGTCAATTCTGTGGCCGCCTTGACAGCACAAATGTTGACAAATCACTTTAGGGGCAATTTTGCGTGCGAGGTCACAATTCCATTCTTAAAGAAATCGCCTCGATGTTTCTTATTAAGGAAATTGCGAGAGTCACTATTTTTTATTCTACTTCAAGCAAAATAGATGCGCGTGCCGCATGTAAGGCAACACAAATGCGCAATACCTGGCGGAAATGAATGACGGACGACCAAAAACGATTTTTAGAACGTCCAAGAATGATAAATGCGCGCTCGACAAGAATGCGGGCCACGCTATGTATATCCGCATAACGACAAAGATATAAAATTACAGGGTAAAACTGAATGATATTAGCTTATCGTGTAATTATATTTATATTCTCCATTAAATTAATCTCGTTATAAGTATGTATAATATGTACTAAAATGTTCAGCATTTTGGATTTCTGTTTTATAATCTTGAGATATTTTGTGTGAAAACACTATCCGAGTGTCAAGCATCCTCACAAGTACCTATATAATTTATCATTGAAAATTCTAAAAGTCCTTAACGTCACGTTCAAGCGATACTTACTCGATACCTACTTGATATCACGTGTATATCTTTTATACTTTATTGCGTACGAGGGTCAAGATGCACTACATTCGTCGGATCGATCGTTGTTATCGTTGATTTTTTTTATCTTTGCATAACGTAAGGTACTTCAAATAAATATTTTCAAGTAAAAAATTTTCCGTCTGTCTGATTGGTGTCTTATATAATTTTCCTTCTTTTTTAAATATATATATATATATGTAAAATAATACCATAATAGCAGCAATACACTTGATTAAAATAATGCATTTTATCTTTAAAGATAATTATTAATTTTATCTCATCAATTTTAGATAATGTTAGAAACGTTTCAACGCTCGAAACCAAGAGGAGTTGAAATTCATTTAATGGTTTTGAAGTAGCCATCTTAAGAAGTGGTCAAGACGATTTAAAGCTTTAAGAAGTCTTAAAGCTTTTGCCTTAATTTTAGAAAAATAAATCGAATCCGATTTATTCCTTTACAGTGAAGCGAAAGGAAAGATAAAACGCGGAGAAACATTATCAGAATGTCACAGTAAGCGACCTCGATTTATTATCTTTCAATGCATTCATTCAGAGCAGCAATATGTTGTCGAAACGGTTCGTTTTGATAATAATTAACATCAACGCGTTAGATTATATTAAAAAAAAAACTTGTAATTATTTATATATGAATTAATATATAATAATAATGTTTAAAATAAAATCCTCAAAATTGATCGATTCTTTTCGAAACTAATAATAACCATATCAAAAAATATTTTTTACTTGGTATATATATCTTAAGCATAAATATAATATTTATTATAAAAAATCCGATAAACTTGGCATACACGATAACAATTAATCGGCATATAATACAAGAAAGAAATAATGCAATTTGCTATAACATTATATTTTTAGATATTGTGTAGAGGCACGAGTCATTGCACTAAATTCCAATAATCTTCCAATAATCTTCGAGATAACGTATCACTGCTTTTTATATAAATGTGTGTAAGTAGATTCATAGTTTTCTTTAAATGAGAATTCTTATTATGTCAAGTCTAGACAAATTCGAATTTTCGTCTTCTCCCACTACAAGTTAAACCAATTCTTAAAGTAGTGATACTTATATCTCAAATGAGTCTCAGAGTTTAGAAAGCTAAACTTTATGATAGCTTATTTCTTGTTTTGAAGCAAAGCTTGTAATAAATTATATATAATTTATGTGGATCTTGCAATCTCGATAGCGTTAAAAATATTTACTCTTTTTTTAAATTTGCATAATTGCGCTCCGTATATTTCCGCTTTGAAAATTTGCATGATCACAGAATAACATTATAATAAATGTTCAACATGCCTTTTATTTTGTTGTAGACAGAGTTCGATCCTTCTGTGGAAGTTCTTATTGTTTGCTATTGAATTGCCGTGCTTCAGGCACCTTTCAAGCGAATTTTCAAACATTTATAATTAAAAAACGAAACCGCAGTTTTGTTATTCTTGATTTTCGTCTTATTTTATCATATAGAATCACTCCTTAAATTTTGTCCCAACTGTTGCCAAACATCCTGTATATAAATGTAGTTTTATACTAACCTTCAATATATTTTTTCAGGGTCTCGATGCCGTTCTTCACGTTCTCCTCGGTTTCCCTGAGCTCTTTCTCGGCCAGAGCCCTAGCTTCGGGCCCGGGTGGACCCATTAACAAAGTAAAAGACATCTTCAATCGGTTTTCTATCTGTCTTCTCAATGATTCTGCTTCCTCTAGAGCAATTCTCGAACTAACTGAGTCGAGTAAGCGTTCCTCCTGTCAGGACAACCGAGGTTTATCTGCTGCACCACCACGATGAGAACAAAAGTACCTCTTGCGCCGAGGCGATCTTTGACCGCTCAAAGTCCACAAGTCCGATTTGTATCTTCCAGCAAGCATTGGTTCTCCGCACCAATTTCTCATATATATGGGACAAAATTTAAGAATTGCCTAAATTCTTATTGGTCTAAATCGTATCAAAGCTAAGCCTCCAAAATGATGTTTTAGAAAGATTTTATCTCTCTTTTTTTTCGAATGTCACCAGTAAGCTTTTCTATTGACGATCGTGCGCGCGGTTTTGGTCAACATATGTACAAGTCGCAAAAGTTTATTTTTCTATTAAAAAGGGTTTCCTATTTTTCAGATAAAAAAAATAATCTTCATTGCATTTTTATGAAAGTGTAAATTTTTTTAATATTTCTGAAATATATATTTCGGAGTGAAATCAAAAAATTTACAAAATTATAATATTTTATAGAAAATGACTCGCAGAAAAAAATAAGTGTAAGCTCGCATTGATCTCGTAATACCTGTTTTTCATCAAAGTATTGATATATTGGACTCATATCTATTCATAATTAATTTCCATAACATCAATTTTTTGTATATGTTTGTGCATTTTCGCAGTCCGTATATCGTCGAACAACTATTAAGAAGCAAGTAGTATACTCTCATACTCTGTACAAAAAAGATGTTATTTCAGTGCTGAAAATAGAGAGAAAAAGTATGGCAACAGACTTATTGAAAGTAATTTAACTTACTACGAGAACATCTGTAGAGAAAACGAAAAATGTAAAAGACCATGATATTCTAATCAGTTCGTTGCATATATGGCTATTGAATATCAAATTTTTTAGATATTTTCTTAACAATGAATCTCTCAAATACAGATTTATTATAGAAATACTTAAAAGCAACGTGCAAAATAATACCGATGTTTCTTCCCTGACAAATTTTAAAAGATATTTCGATTTTCGCTCTTATATTGTTCCTAAATAATTACATTCCATCTAACAATAAGCCAGGAATAAAGTAGCCACAAACTTAGCCAAAACTTATATTTTCAGTGAGAAGTACATATTGATATTAAAATCATAATAAAAATCATTATTAATTCACAAACAAAAATGTATGCAAATGCATACACATATGCATAGATATCGAACGCTTCGAAAAAACTAACGCATTAAAAGAAAAATTAATAGCTCATATAATTGATGCAATTGCTTAGGGATTTCTTTTTTTTTTAGGAAAAAGAGTATTTTTTATAGTCATAGAATAAATTAACCATAAAAGCCATAAATTCAATCTTATTCATCTATAATCAAAATGCGAAATTTTAATCGCATTTTTCGCAAAACTATTTTTTCAAAACGTTTTCCAAAAATTGATTTATGTGATTCTTCAAAAAATAAATAAACTAGAAATAAAATTGTAAGCGAGAATTTAAATTTTACAGAAACATAAAAATATATATTTCTTTATCGTTCAAATTATAAATACGTCGATATCTAAAACTTTTTTTTTTATATAATCACTGAAAAGTATATAAAAATATATTAAAGTGTATTAAAAAAATTAAATGTATGAAAAATAATCTTTAAATACTCACGAAAAATTGGAAACCTTACTTAATAAAGATAATGATAATGATAATAAAAATCGAGATTTTAATGTGCATAGGAGGAGGATTCTTTTTACATAAAGACATATCTTTTTGTTTTTCATTATGTAATATTTTAAGACGAGCAATCGATTTTTCTATTCATCAGAACTAATTCAGTGTGCTGAAAAAGAACCGATGGATGAATGGATGGATTAATCACGAAGATAAAGCGAAAGAAGCGATAGTCAGGAGTAGATTATGAGTAAATCATGAGTTTAATTTATCAAACTTAAGACTTTGTACAAGAAAGTTTCTTCGGGAACAATCATCCTTCGATATCTTTTATCGCGTAACGATCTCTCTATCGATCAGAGTTGATTAGTTAACGTTAAGAAGCAAAAAAAGCATGGATGAGATAATTTGTGAAAATAAAAAGAAAAATGATAAACAATAACAAAATTTGACAAGTGCACAAGTTTAATTTAAAAAGTTTAATAAAACTTGCAATTTTTCTTAATTTATAAAGAAAGTTCTTTTCAAAAACATCAAATAATTGCTTGTGTTTTTAAAGATTGCGCGTATTAAACTATCTGACAATGAGTCAGAAAGTATATGTATATTCTCTTCCATTCTTTTCTCGATATTACATACCTATCGACTTTTCAGCACAATAAGACTATCATAAACATATTTTATATTAGATTGTAAATAGAGATATTCAATGATAATAAAGATCCTATCATGTAAATTCATCGTGACGGTTCAAGAAAGTGCAAACAATATGTGATAAATATTAATTAGACTTGTATCAAAAACAATATTCGACTTTTTTTATATTTTCGAGAAATTTTTAATAATTATTAAAAATTATAATATATGTATATATGAGATAAATAGATAGATATATAACAGATAGATAGATATAGATATAGATAGATATAGATATAGATAGATAGATATATAAAGAGAGAAAGAGAGAGACAGAAAAGAACATTCATTTTCTTTGCAATTTGCTTAATTTTAAATTTTTTCATTTTTTTTCTTTCTTTTTCGAGAAATTTTAGGTATAGAATTTTTGAAATTAATTTACGCCTTTAAATATCTTTAGCACAAATTAACAGAAGATCTCAAGAATAGAGTAATATATACTTTTTCTCTCTTATTGTTTTATACAAATTTTTTCATTATATTGTTACAACAATATAAAAAAATATTCTCTTTTTATCAATATTTTTTACAATTAAAAATATGGACAATTAAAATTTTTGTAAAAATTAGAACACACATAATATAGGCACGCGACATTAAATTTACCGATGCAATTTACCCGAGTAATTACCATCCATCGCATATGTGATCATCTGAGGTATAACTAAATCTTTTCTAGACTCTTACCAGAGAGAAGCTTGAAAGGGGCCAGCCGCCGTTTTTCGTGAGGCCTTTTTCCTAGCTGATACAATGGCACTAACTGAATTCATTTCAGATCCGGCGGAACTACATGGCCAGATCCACTTTTTGATACCATGATAAAACGATCGGTTGGTGCATGTCCATGCTAAACACATTGTGTATTAAAAACGCGGAGAAATATTATGGATTTATTAATGTTTTATTAGCTGCGCGTGATGTTTTGTCATTCTAGTATATACTACAGCGATAATAAATTATAATTGAAGTATTTTTATGTATATATATATAAAAATACTGTGTACGCATGTAAAATGAAATAAATTTTCTTAAATAAATTTTCTTAACAATTTTTTTCCTAATTTTTAAATATAACGTGTATAGAAGGTATTTACAATAAATTGCTTTCACTTTTTTCTTATTCTTGAAAAGTATTAAGCATTTTAACGACTAAAACTCCCTTTTCCCTATTCTCTCAATTATTGTCCTTTTTACTTTTATTTTACTTAAAAATATTAATATAAAAAATATAACTACAGTATCTCTCTTAGTCTGACTCTTCCCCTTCGACCTGTCCGGCATGGGTGACCCTACCGGTAACTAATAGCGTTTTTGAATGAAGTAAGTTTGATTGCTTTGAGAGCTATTAAACCAGATTTGCCATAAACATATGTTCGACCGAAAATGGGTTTCGTGTGAATTTGATTAATATAGATATAATACATCAATAATATTAATAATATAAAATACATCCCGCTATTTTGGCTTCAAAACACAAGACTTTTTGCTCTAATTAATTAATGAAAGGCTTACTCGAAATCACATTGATTAATCTAATAACTCAAATACCCCTAGAATCCAAGACAGAGTTTATGAATTTTATTTATTAATTGGTCTCAGAGCGATCAAACTTACTTCACTCGAAAACATATATGTTACCGCCGGCATAGCTCTCAGGTTCATTAGAGTACGCAAACCTCCTCACCCGGCAAATGCCTTCGTTAAGGTGGAGATACCATCGAGGAGG